GGTAGGCAGGTAGGTAGGTAGGTAGGTAGGTAGGAAGGTAGGTAGATAGATAGGTAGGTAGATAGGTAGGTAGGTAGGTAGGTAGGTAGGTAGGTAGGTAGGTAGGTAGGTAGGTACGTAGGTACGTAGGTACGTAGGTACGTAGGTAGGTAGGTACGTAGGTACGTAGGTAGGTAGGTAGGTAGGTGAGGTAGGATGGAAGCAGACAATCAAGCAAGAAAGGAAAATAGGAAGAAACTCACCGATTGATTACTCAGTTACTTTGCCTTACATCTCAGATCGAACCCCAGGTTTAGCCGACGAATCTCCTGCAGCAGAAACCTCATTCATCGCCCAAGAATGTAATGCAACAACCAAGTACTACGCGAGGGGAAAGCAAGCAGAAAATATCCCCCAAGATGTCTTTAATCTTTATCCTTCTGCAAAAAGACTCTTGACTAGTGGATTCTTTGCTGTGCAGGAGATTCCTAAGGTTCTTTCCTCTGAAGAAAACATAACCAAGGTTAGTTTTTTTTCCATTCTAACTACAAAACTAATCTGTGTTTGTTTGCTTTCAGTATATTTTATTTCTGTTCTCGTAAGAAGTGGCGCAGGCGCGCGCATTTTGGCGGGAAAGTTTCCGCCAAATCCACAGGAACTCCACTAGTATAAGGACATATAATCGCAAATCGCAGGCCATCTCGTCATAACTTTTTAATATATAGAGCGATCGGTAGCCTGATGAAAACAATAGAAGTTTTTAAAAAATTMAAACTTTCTTGCTAAACGATTAATTAGATACGATAATTTGTAAAAAAGCTTTTTCCTAAGTAGTATCCAGAAATTAAACACTATTGAATTTCATCCCAACATTTTGAACTTTCAATAAAGATATAATATAGAATAATAATGGTAAACTAATTTTTTGGAGGAGGACGTATACTTAATTATCACTTATGTAATCACGTTTATTACCAATCATTTTATTTCATGTTTATTTTTCTTTAAGGTGTGCTTCGAACCTCTTGGCTCGTGGAACTTACGTTCCATTCGCAAAGCATTCCACTTGAACCGCTACACGAAAGCTTCCATCAAAAACATGAATTCCAATCATCTTATTGGAATTACTATAGGGCTGAAGCCTGATGGGACCCTTTACGGAATAAACGTCGCTACGGGAACACCAGGAGCTATGTATAGTATCATGTACTACCGGAGATTCCGAGGGAGAAGCTTTCACGAAGATTATTTAACGTTCTAATTTAAGCGATCAATAAGACCGATGAACTGTTTTGTAAAAATRAGCAGCTTTATTTATAAGAGATGGAAGATTATTTAACGTTCTAATTTAAGCGATCAATAACACCGATGAACTGTTTTGTAAAAATAAGCAGCTTTATTTATAAGAGATGGAAGTTTAATAAGTGCAGTCTAGATAAGTTTGGATATGTCACCAAATGTTTATAATAAAAGCTTTTTTGATAGATCTTCATTGGTGTTTTACGCATTTAGCTTTTCGTTAAAGTACAAAGGACGGTAAGTTTGATATTTCTTGTCCCAGAGGGCTAGCATTGATCTTCATTCCTTCAATGACTTTGAAACAAAATATTTTTGGCACGGGAAGAAAACTGGAGGCCCAAGACTAGATGTTCTTAGTGTCTATCACGCAACGTTTCCCTGTTGCGTGACAGACAGTAAGAACTTTTGGGTAGGACTAGCCCTTCTGTCTGTGAAGACCCGTAGATGCTTTGCTGCACTGTCAGGCGGTCCGTGTCTATGCGCGTGATAATGTACGTATGGTCCTTTAGCTTCACATTTCAATTAAAGGAATGAAGTGTAGCAAGAGTAAAAAACTAATTATATTTTCTCTTGGGTTTAGTTATTCTATTTTAGACCTTTTTTTTTTTTTTTTTTTTTTTTTTTTTTTTTTTTTTTTTTTTTTTTTTTTTTTTTTGATATCTTAATTTATAGCCTTCTTCCGTTCTAGTTTTTTAACCCTGTGCGCGGTACACAAGGGCCCGAACTACTTCTCTGTCAGCGGATTTCCCCCATCCGTTTGACGTGTCAAGATGGCGGACCGTCAGAGAAGTGATCTTCATTCAAAGCCTTCCAACCCTCGTCCTTCTCCTCAAGGAATATCGCTTGCAAACCTGTCTGAGCCTTTAAACTTTGGTCCATCTCTAGTACCAACTATACAGCCAGTAGGAGCGCCGAAAACCCCATCCACGTCTGCTCAGCAAACTCCGAGTTCAACGTCCACCAAGTCGAACACTAGTGGTATGTGGTTTGTATATCGATATTTTGATTTTAAAAGAGAAAAAGAAGACGAAAGAAAGCTAATATCGACTAATTTTTACTCAATATTTCCTGGTGTATAAGGAAACGTAAAACCAACAGGTATCAGGTGTGCAAACACAGACCTTGGACCAGGTTAATCAGCTGTTTAAAGAAAATCCGGTGAAAATAATAATGCACGTAATTTGCCTCGTAGTTTTTAATAGACATTAGCACGAAATTATCATTTAAATGTTTTATTAGCGAGATAAGGCATTGTTAATACTGTAATATCTTTCGGCTTTTAATGTCGACGTTTATTTTATTTGCCGTATGATACGTGTAAGGGACACCTTTTATTAGAATTGAATTTAAGGTAAGATAGCATATTAATATTTTCTTAGTGGTAAGAATGGTGTTGTAGACACATTATAGCCATAAATACATGCAAGTTTTGTGTAGTTACAGAGAATATCTGCCGCATGGAGTGTTCATAATGAACCATTCATTATATTACAGGAGTAGGGGGAGGGGTGGGGAGGAAATCTTTCGAACTTGAAAACATAAAAATAATTTTCACCAGAGGGCCATGAATTAAAGCAAAGTAAAGGAAGGGTATAAATAGACATATGATAACAAAAATTGTTTTGTTTGATTGTTGTTTAAAGTGTCCATCAGAATAGTCCCTTTTCTCATTCAGTAATCTGCTGTGTTTTATGACTAAAGACTCATCTGCACAGGCTTAGCCTCACTTAAGAGCAATTTATTTGCAAAAGTCAACTGTAATGCAAAGAATGTGCTGCTTGAACAATTTAGAGACTTTGCACCATCGCGTGACGGCAGCCATTTCAGATGGCAGTAACAATACAATCATTTTATATGAGAAAGAATTTAATTCCTGAGAGCAAAGGGATTTTATTGTTCAGCCATCTAACCGCAGGCAGTCCAAGCTGTATTATGGGCACCTGCACATGATGGTGCAAAGCCTCTATACCAATGTTTTGAAATCCCACAGGCTTTTTAATGGYATGTGTGAATAGCTGACTTATAAACTAGGCTAAGCTTGTGCAAATGAGTCTGTGGTCTTCAAAAACAGCGTTATGAAAAAAAACAAAAAAAAACAAAAAAAACAGTGTTATGCATTGAACGCAAAACTGGTGTATTCTGTTGTCCAATCCAATGCAAATTAACAAAACCTATTGTTAAAATGGTTGTCACATTAACATCACAATGACAATGTTTATAAACCTCACATCCACCTGTAAAGGCTTTGCACCATCACATAATGGCAGCCATAACAAGAGGCACAACAATAGCCTTTTTCCCTGGGCAGACTGAATTTTTTTAACATATAAATCAGATTAGAACAAATCCAGTTGTTCCTGCCTTCTGTCATGGCTGCCATCACGTGATGCGTTGCAAAGCATCTATTGGAAGTGTACAATATGTGTGCATTTTTTTTTCAACTTGACAACATTAAAAAGTTTCCCAATTACCTATTTATCTTTCACTGCTATTATATATTGAATTCCTTCAAGAACCATCTAATTAAGAACCAATCCTAATTATGTTTTTGTGGCTAGCACTGCTATATAACTTAAGGATAGGACAAGTAATTAAATTTTACTCCCAAATAAAATATCTGTGGTCTTTATTCTGATTATATTTGTTTCTATTGATGTTATTTTAGGATTGTTTCCATTGGATCATGATGCTGAGGCTGACAGTTTTTTGGGTCAGCAGCCTTTCCCTCCACAGAGGACTCCAGCCACATCTTCCTTCCAAGGTTTCAGCACTCCCCACCAGTCTAAGTTGAGTCCACTAGCTATGTCCTCCTTTGCATCGTCCACTCCACAGCAATCAACACRGGCTGGTCCTAAACACTTTACGATGGCTAGCAGTGGCCAAGATGTCGATCATTTCTTAGCTCCTTCAACACAAACAACTTCAACGTTCAGTACACCATCATCATACAGTTCTCAACCTCATTTCTCATCACAACATGCAGGGAAAACTCCTTCCCAGCAAACCAGTGTATTCACTTCACAGACATCTGGAATACCTCAAGGGTCTCCTTTTGGACCCTCACATTTGCCACCGAGAAGAGTATACCCAAAAGTAAACCAAGAAATTGGGTATTCTACAGGACCTCAATCAATACCTTCTCAGCTTCCATCTCAGATTAATCCGTCTATGCAAAGTAATCCGGCTTCTACTCAGTTTCCTGCTCAATCATTATATACACAGGGATCCCAACCAACAAATTCACCTGCTATGATGCCACAAGACAATTCTCAAACTCCATTCATGCCCAGTAATCCTCAACCTCCCCCTCAGATGTACCTACCGCCACAGGGTACCCAACAGTATGGAGCAACACAGTTCCCTCAGCAAGCAAACCAAGCACCAATACTTCCTGTTGAACAACAGTTTTCACCTTCATCATCAGAAGGGGTTGTCCCTACGGCTTTAATAGCACCAGTTCAACCACATTGGTTTTACTTGAAGGAAAATAGAGCATGGATGCCCTTTTCCTACATAGATTCTGATTGCCTAGAGCATGTTTATAGATTACCAGGTACTGGTGAAGACAGGATTGTTCCTACTGATGGTGGAAGATATGATGTGAATCTAGAGAAGAGAACCAGAGAGTCCGTCTACTGGGAGGAACCAGCCACTGTGGTTAGAAGATGTACTTGGTTTTATAAGGGAGAAGGAGGGACCAAATTGGTCCCTTACGAAGAAGATTTGGCTGAACGATTTGAGGTAAGTATCTGTAATTTTTGTAAATTTAACAAGTGAATAAGAAGGAAACTTAAACATGTGTAAAAAAAGTTTGTAGTTTATCATATGGTGTGCATATGATAAAAATTACACAAATTTGACCTAAGTAGACTGTAGACCTACAAAAATTTGCACTCATTTATTCAATTATATTTTGAAACTTTTTTGTGGATATATGGTATGCACTACTATACTGAGACATTTCAGATGTTAGTTCAGAGTAAATATGATACTGAAACAGGGGCGGCGGAAGCTGAAAAATTTTGGGGGAGCACTCCAATATTTCACGGTACCTTGAAATGACCCCCCCCCC